TACAACGTTATAGCAATTATATAAAAATCAATATTACTTATTCGAATTTTCTCTTTGAATACGATAAATAATCTTTAATTTTATGATTTTGTAAGATCTTTTTTTGAGATATAATATTCGACGGCAATTCCATAATTTTTTTTGTCCCAATACTTGAAATCGCCGCGAATTTTTGACAGGTCGGTACGATCAAACAAAAAGAATACCTCAGACTCAATGTGTCCACTGCGTCATACCAAGTCATACCAAAAATTATAAATTAATTGTTAAAGATTACTCCTTTTCGAATGATTATACTGAGCACAAAATAATAAACAAATGTTCTTAAACAAATGTACTTATTGAATTAAACTTCCTCATAAATCTATTTTTTTCGTCTTTCCCACACTGTTCATCGCAATTGTCGTGTGCTATGCCGAGATCTTCATCATGCTTTAGTAAAAAAGTATATCTAAATTGATTCAGAATTGTCTGAAACGCGTTTTTAACTACACTTTTGTGAGTCAAATATTACTACTGCCTCACAAAAAAATTTATTTAAAAATCCCAAAAATTCTGCGCAACTTCCAACTAGTCTTAAAATTCTTCTAATACTCCCTAGAATATTCCCTATAAATTTCAAAAAAATAAAAAATGGGGTTTTTGAGATATTCAAATTTTTGTGTGTTTTTTTACTTTATTAGTTTAACATCATTATTATAAAAATTTGGGATAATTTTTTTTTTAAACTATGATCTAAATAGCGTATTTTATGTTCAATGAATTTTTTTCTTAGACGTTGTCTAATAGGCGAAAAAATTCATTGAAAATTTTGCAGTCCTCATTTTGCGCAGGCTCTATTTCGGAAACGCTACATTTATTATAGAAACGATTTAACAGGGGTCTAACACTCGTAAAGACCTGTTAAAAAACGAGCGGCCATCAAAAATAAAAAGGTCGAAGTTTGACTCCTTGCGAATTGGCGTGGAATGCCCCATATATATTATATGTATATATATATATATATGTATATATATATATACATATATATACATATAATTAATCTTTTCATTAAAATTAAAAAAAAATTTGTGTTGATTATTAAATTTAACTGTAGATTGCTGTGTCCGATTTGAATGCCATTCGACAATGTTTATCGGGATTAAGATAGATGAATTGCGATAGATGATAGCAATGTGTGAGGTAAATGTTACATGAGCATTTAGATTATATTAGAAGATGATCGAATAGAAGTCGACAGATCAATGCTCTGAATCAAAAAGAAAATTAAACTTTTAATTATATATAAAATTTTCAATTAAAATATTAGGAGCGTAGAGCAATAACATAATGTCCGTATTAATATATTATAGTTAAAATCTACAGACGTTTCAGTTCTTTATGGGACCATTCAGTGTCTAATACATTTGTCGGTAAATTCGATCGCAGAGTTACAATATTAACGCATAAGTTATGTTGTGAGTGGACGGCACTGTAAAAAGTATATAAATATTTTAAGTCTATTTATAGTCAAACAAAGATATAAAAAAATATATAAAGATTTTAAATCTATTTATAGTTAGACGAAGTAAGCGATTAACCTAAGTACGTACGTATATGTATTTTTCTTAATTATGCCGTGAGCCATAGCGAACATTTATAGATAAAATATATGACACTCTGTTCGACCACGAGAGAACGGTACCGTATATTGTATAGATAGAAGGGAAATGAAAGGGGGAATGAAGAAAGGTGTAGATCTCCCCCATCACTAATCATTGCCGACGTGACGTTGCATGACATCGAAAAAAAAAGCGATCCAAATATTACCATTCCATGTACCTTTATCATGCCCGCTCCACCAGAATGTCGATCTTATCTTAGATGTATTTAACTCGTTACATGAGAGATTGTCCTGAATTTGTTCCCTCCCCTTTAGTTCTATTTTGTCCCCACCTTTCTCCATTCCCCCTTTCATTTCCCTTCTGTCTATATAATATGTGGTAACGTGCTCTCGTGGTTGAATAGTTTGTCACATATTTTATCTATAAATGTTTGCTATGGCTCACGGCATAAGAAAAATACATACACGTACGTACTTAGGTTGATCTCTTGCTTCGTTTGACTATAAATAGACTTAAAATCTTTATATATATATACTAGCTGGTTACCCGGAGGACATATGTAATAAGACACGCAAATAGTCTCTCTCTCTCTTTCTCAAATACTATAAATTGAAAAATATTACTTTTTTATCGACTGAAGTTCAATTCTGTCGCATACAATTTGAGATTCACTCAATTATTTCCTAAAAAATTGGAAAAATTTCGTAACCAATTTCCAAAAAGATACCGGTTCCCAAAAAGATCGGTAACGAAAAACTATACAGTTTAAGCACTTCCCGGAAAATTCTACCCCTGTTTTATATACAATTCTTTATAATTCGATCAATTATTTTCCGAAAAATTCGAAAAACTTCTGATACCGATTCCCAAAAAGATCGGTAACGAAAAATTATGTACTTTATAGCACTCCCCGGGAAATTCTACCCCTACTTTGTATGTACAATTCTTTGAGATGCGATCATTCGGAACCGGTTTCCAAACAAATTGGTAACAAAAAATAGTACACTTTATAGCATTTCCCGGGAAATTCTACCCCTACTTCATGTATAATTCTTTGAGATTAAATCAATTATGTCCCGAAAAATTAGAAAAATTAAAAAAACCGGTTTCCAAAAAGATTGGTAACAAAAACTATACACATCATAGCGCTCCCCGTAAAATATATTCTACCCCTACTTCATGTACAATTTTTTAAAATTCGGTCAATAAATTCCCGAAAAATTAAAAAAATTTCGGTACCAGCTTCCAAAAAGATCGGTAACGAAAATTTATACATTTTATAGCACTCCTCGGAAAATTCTACCCCTGTTTGATCTATAATTCTTTGAGATTTAATCAATTATTTCCCGAAAAATAGGAATAATTAAAAAAATCGGTTTCCAGAAAATCGGTAACAAAAAACTATACACATAGTGGCACTCCCCGGAAAATTCTACCCCTATTTCATATACTTTTGGTAAAAATTCGGTTCAGGGGTTTGGGCTGGGCGTTGATGAGTCAGTGAGTGAATAAGTCAGGACATCTTCCTTTATAGATATAGATTTATATCTTTGTTTGACTATAATAAATAGACTTAAAATTTTTATATATTTTTATACCTTTATATATTTTTACTTTGTTTGACTATAAATAGGCCCAAAATTTTTATATACTTTTTACAGTGCCGTACACTCACAACATAACTTATACGTTAATATTGTAACTCTGCAATCGAATTTACCAAAAATGTATTAAACACTGAAGATGGTCCCATAAAGGATTGAAACGTCTGTAAATTTTAACTATAATATATAACTATTAACACGGACATCTTGTTATGACTTTACGCTCCTAATATTTTAATTAATTTTTAATCCTTTGAGCTTTGTTTTTTTATATATAAAATTTTGTTCAAAATTGTTTTAATATTTTTTAATATTAAGTGACACGGTAGTGTCTCGCACCAAGTACAGGCGCAGCGCGAGACCGCCCCGTGTATCTTTACGCGAACGGACGAGTTGTATAATAATATATATATATAAGTACCTGAAATTTTGAGATCAAGAGACACGGCAGTGTCTCGCGCCAAGTATACGCGCAGAGCGAGACGCACCGTGACTCATTTATGCGAACGCACGAGTTGCGAGTACCCGAGATTTTGAGATCTCAATAACGAGTGATCTTAATAATACGTATAGACGGACACATGCGGATATCTTTCCTTCCATTCATTAACTAAGTCATCGCTAATTTTACACAATACAAAGTAAAATTCTTGCAGTTTAGGACATTGTTCGAAAATGACGGAATATTTGTCAGGTTCTTCATAATTTACCTTTAAAAAATATAACTTTTTCAAATTTTTGCACTGCGCTAGCAATTTCAAAATGCGGTCAGTAAGGACAATAATCTGCAGACAAATTTCTTCCAGACATTGACAGGAAGAAAGTAATCTGTCCAAGCTATTATCAGTGATTGAGCGTGGGAATCTGCAACAAAAATCATATAATTATCACAATATTTCAATCGCAAAGAGAAAATTAATGCAACTTTTTCAAGATATTTGAGATGCAAGAAAAGCAAACACACAAATTTCGATAAAAATAACAGTAACATGTATTTTACAAGAAAATTAAAAGACATACTTACTGGGGAAATGTCACTTTTCGTAAATTTTTACAGTCAGCGAGGGCGTTCAAACCCTGCGATGTAAGATGATAAAGAGCCGGTAAAAATATTACTTCTAAGTTGTGACACGAATTTCTTAACTCCATTAAAACTGTGTCTATGTTTATAAGCGCACCTCTAGTTGAGAAATGTAATTCACGCATCCGTTGATTTTTTTGCAGTATTTTGCAAAGATATTGAGTTTTTATATGTGTTTTACAAAGCCTTAAATGCTCCAAACCATTTAGTCTCTCAAGATACGAAAATGCTTTGTCGTCTATACGAGAACAACGACTTAGATCCAATTCTAAAAAAAAAAAAAAAATATGTTTTGATATATGCAATTTATACCCGTAATTTTGACAATTATACATATATAGTATACATACATATAGATATATACCTTTTAAATTTTTGCATATCTCTGAAATTTTAAATAAAACAGGACTGTTAACAGATTTGCAGTTACTTAATCTCAAGTGCGTTAAACGTCTGCCGCAATTATCAAGAAAGTTTATGAAATCATGCACACGAAAGTTGCATTCTGTAAGATCTAACTGTCGCAAATAATTACATTTAGTTGAAAAGTAACGAAATATAGTGTGCATACTCTCGTTGCGAGTTATAAGTTGCATGTTTAAACACGTATAGAGTTCAGGGTCTTGTATTAAATTATTGAAGCGTTTATTTACATATTTCATGAAGCATAACGTCATCAAATCCATGTTTTTTAATATCTTTAGTAGTATTTCATTCTGCAAAGACAAAATATAAAACTTTAATACACGAAATGATATCACAATAAATATTATTATGAAAAATAGACTTTTATTATAATACTTTACAGGAAGAACAGACAAACTGCAACGTGATAGCTCCTTGGGTTCATCCGAAAAAAGTTTCATACGCTTGGCATAATTTGAATAACTTTTTAGTAAAATATGACGCGAGTATTTCTGTCCAAAAAGTTGCACATAACCTGGGATTACCTCCTGAGATGCCTTTTTGTGCTTCAAATTACTTTTATAATTAATCCTTCTTATTTCGCTACAAATATCATCGGAACAAATTGATTTTTATTATTAACAGAAAAAAAGAATTTAAATATACCCTAAAATGTACGATAGTAATACCTTTTATAAATAACATCAGAACAAATTAATTTTTACTATTAAAAAAATAAATATTAAATATTATACTTAACATCAACGATTATTATACCTTTTATAAATAACACAATATTCAGAAAAATTTCTTTGCAGATGAACTATATCCAAGTGTGCACTTTTTAAATCTGCTGTTAAATTATAAACTTCCTTATATTGTGGAGTGTACATGCTGTTAATTCTTTTTAACAGATTACTTAAACTCTCGTTAGGATTTTTAGAAAGGATCAAATCTGATGAACCAATAAGCAACACAGCATCTAGCTTTGAATAAGAGGCAGGTGAACTACACTGTTTAAATATTAGCCTGAGCATTTTGGTTTTAAAGTTACATGGGTGTGATAAGGGCGGAGAGAATAATCTTGCTGTCGGGGGTACAATCTGAGGCGACTTTTCCCACAATTGAAACCACTGATTATTTATAGAATCTTGAGCCCAAATTTCAGTTACTCCTCCAGGATTATATATTTCGGAAATACAGACTCTGATTGGATATACGGCTTCATGAAACTCGATATCTTCAAAATATAAAATATAATTATACTCTCTTTTCAACAGATATATAACTTCTTTAACAATATCTTATAGAGGTATTTGTCAATTCAAAAGTATTATATACCAATATACTCATCATCATTCCCCTGCCTTGAATAACAGGATGCGGCATAACGATTAATAACACTTCTCACGGAATCTATGTATTGCCACGGAGATATTGAAATATCGATACCATCTTTCCTCTATAATAGAAAATCGAAATGTGTCAAATAGCAGAAAATCTTGTAACATAAATTTGTAGATAGCGATTATTTTGTGCAGGACAATAATAGTTAATACCAGGAAATACACATACTTCGACATATTTTCCTCCAAAAGAACATGATGGATGAAACAGTTCTCCATAGTTTAAAAATTTTGGTGGCCCAATTATGTCAGGGGCAGTATGGAATACGCTAAGATTCCGGTAGTTCGTGGTAACAAATCTTTTCGTCACAAATTGATAGATGAAGTCAACACTTTCCTTTTCTCCTATGGATACTCTGCCGACATAGGGATATCGACTACAACTTTCGCAATATGAAGATTGATTGTGGGTTGTCATATTTTCTCTCTAAAAGGAGACCAGATATATAGAGAATAATAATTTTTTTTTTTAGTATAGGGGAGACCGGGGTAAACTCGACACCAAGGTAAACTTGACACTATAGGCTTTTTGCCTATTTAAATCTATCGTAGAAACTTGCCTTTCTTACTCTAAATGCGTCTTTATGTGCCAGTATTATCAATAGAATTTGGTGAAATTCTGAGTTATGGTGTAATTTTTAGCGCGATATAAGCGTTTTTGATGGTGAAAAGTAATTTTTCTGATCTTTCTAAAATTTCTACTTTTTTATCGAAGCTTACTCTTGCGAACCTATATGTAAGTGATTTTGATGAGAAATTTGATGCTCTATACGAATCCGATAATAGTTTTTGCATATTTTCAAAATCTTCATGTTTTTGGAGTGACAAAAGTGAAAAACGAGGTTCGGGGTAAAGTCGACACCATGCCGTTTTATTGGCTCCCAATAACAAACGATGCTTGTCATGCAGCCATATGGCTCATGACAAATGTGTGTGCACGTCCGATCGCGAATTTACTTGCATAAATTGTTTTTCAGACATGAGTTTAGATGAAAATAATGACAGTTCAACAAATTTTGTTCTTATTATTCCCAATGACTGTTTTACTTAATTCCGAATTTTTGTACTTTTCAAATACATGATAAACATGCAATGTATTTTCAGTTTTAGACAATAAAAAATAAGTTTCAGATCAAATTGTGTCGATCAGGCAAAGTGTCGAGTTTGCTCCGGCATTTTTCAATTTAAAAATTTGTCTTTGCATCACTTTCTCTTTCCTGGGGGCAAAACTAAGTGACATATAGTAAAACTTCCTTAAACAATTTTGTACCTGAAGGAACACTCTTTAAATGTGTACCATTGAATTTGCTTGAAAATTTTAATTAATTGTTGAAAATTGCCTTTGAAAAAATCGAATTGGCTTCTGTCTCCCCTATGCTAAAATACATTATAATATAATATATTTATAATTATAGCGTAAAGGTTACATAATCTAAGTTTATCTTGCTTCCATTTATATTGCTAGTACTGACATTATTACATAGTCTGCATATGTGTGTTGTATATTATTATTAATAACTAATTATTTTAAAGAAAATAACGTTTTCTTAAATTTTGTTAATATAGAAAAATGTTTTTATTTAAATTTAAAGTACCGGGAGCTCTGTGTTCTTCTACCACCACGTGGCACACACGTACAAGAGCACGAAAAAAAACAAAAAATTGCAAAATTTAGATTGTTCACATTTGCCACACTTAACGCTTAATTCTAAATGGCTAAGGTCCATTTTACAATAACCGTAAGAGTATATGTAAGACGTAAGCAGTAAGCTATTGACTAATAAGATTCTTACAATCCAAGAATAATCGATTGTAGTTGGTCAATTTTTTACTGCTTGCATCTTATTACCGCATAGCCTTACGGCTGTTATAGAACGGGCTTAAGATTTTCCGAATCGTGTTTATCTTTCTTTGAAAATATCTTTTATCTTACTTTCCGATACACGTCATAGTGTTTTCCACCACGTGGTAGTAGAACATTCGTGGTAGTAGAACATACACGCGTGCACGTGCATCAATACAAAAAAAAATTGCAAAATTTAAGTTGCTTACGTTCGCTACATTTACAATTACACTTTTGACTAAAATTTTTCAAATTGTATTTTTTTACTTATTTAATGTATCTTATATCTCATTGTTTGATAGCTAGGATATATAGCGATCTAACACTAACACTAAGGATCACATAGAATAAAGAGAATTAGCGGAAATTTAACTCGGAACTGAACCGAAAAATTAATCAGAAAAACTAATTTCTGTCGATTTTCATACTACTTACTGTTTATCAAGAAAGCAGATTTTATTTTTTCCGTATAACACAAAAAATCATGAAAGAGAAAAAATGTTGGAACATGCGGTTAGTGAGCGCACACTTCTATGGCTATGTGAGTCCACATCTATATTATATACTAGATTGCCAACTCCCACGAAATACAAGGACCTACATGTGAAATAGTGTTACATCCAAACCTAGAGATTCAGGTAAATTACTGGAAAGCAAAGGAAAAGACTAGCTAGAGGGGAGGGGGAATATGGAAGGACGCAAGCAGATGCAGATAGCGTTTTCTACTGGGAAAATTACCCAGACAATATATAGCACAAAAAATAACGAGAAAGATGTCTTTCTTAAGTTATCTATTTGACAAGGCAAAAATATATATGTATAAAAGATACTTTTTGATCTTATCGAAAAAGTCATCATAAATAAAATACCGTTTTGTTGTTTCTTTTATGATGTTTAGAAAAAGTGTTAAAAGTGTTGAAGTGTTAAAAATTTTTCCGACCAATTAAAAATAGCTATTATTTTACATTTATATTAAACATCAAAACTCAATATATCGATCAAAAAAGTAAAAACTGTTTTATGTAGTAAGTACATTGGTTGGATAATCCGTTCGTAGCCTGTTAAGGTCAATCCAGACAAACTTGCATAGCGCATAAACATAAGCATAAGAGAATTGATTGGTCCATATGCATGTGCATAAGGAAATAGACCAATCCGTTTCTTTATGCATATGGTTATGCACCTATGCAAGTTTGTCTGGATAGACCTTTAGTATGCTTATAGTCACTTTTAAGGTCTATCCAGACAAACTTGCATAGGTGCATAACCATATGCATAAAGAAACGGATTGGTCTATTTCTTTATGCACACAATGCATATGGACCAATCAAAGTAATGAAAATTCAAATTAAAAAATAATGCATTACTTATTAATTAAAAAAAAAATAATTATTTCTTTACTTATTAATTATTAAAAAAGTAATCCGAAATGGAAAAACCGCATTGATTATTTAAAAAATAATACGTAATAAAAAAAATCGCATTGATTATTTAAAAAGTAATGCGTAATAAACAAAATCGCATTAATTATTTAAAAAGTAATGCGTAATGAAAAAAATCGCATTGATTATTTAAAAAGTAATGCGTGATAAACAAAATCGGATTGATTATTTAAAAAGTAATGCGTAATGAAAAAAATCGGATTAATTATTTAAAAAGTAATGCGTAATGAAAATAATTGCATTAATTATTTAAAAAGTTATGCGTAATGAAAAAAATCGCATTGATTATTTAAAAAGTAATGCGTAATGAAAAAAGTCGCATTAATTATTTAAAAAGTAATGCGTAATGAAAAAAATTGCATTGATTATTTAAAAAGTAATGCGTAATAAACAAAATTGCATTGATTATTTAAAAAGTAATGCGTAATGAAAAAAATCGCATTAATTATTTAAAAAGTAATCCGTAATGAAAAAAATCGCATTGATTATTTGAAAAGTAATGCGTAATGAAAAAAAACACGCATTAATTATTTAAAAAGTAATCCGTAATGAAAAAAATCGTTGAAATTTTTGTTTATCATTCGTTTTATGTACGGATTATTGAAAATCAATATTACAGTTCATCCCTGCTTAATACACACATATAGTAGGCGAAGAATAAATATAGTACGTAAATTGTACGTGTACATAATATTTCAAAAAGGATGTGAAATCTTTAAATTAAATTGCGCCAATTGTAAAGAGAATATGTATATTGCTTTGAAAGATAATTGTTATCAACTACTTTAAAGAAATAAAACCCAAGTGGTATCTTCGTATTCCTATTCAAGGGTCTTCCTATTCTAAACCCTAGTGATAATAGCTTCTTAATCCTTTTTAACAAATTTTTAATGTTACAAAGAATCATTTTAATTACAAAGAATTAAAGAAGTAACAGTACAAAATAAAAATATTTAATTAAAACAAAATAAATAAATTTTTCTTGTAAAAAAACTTGTCGCTGCTAGACTTTGAAATTTAAACATTAGTACTAAGATTTTTGATTGAATAAAAAACAATAAACATAATTTAGGGAAAAATGCGACAGGTGTAAAAAAGCAGCGCCAAGTTTTTTTACAAGAAAAATGTATTTATTTTGTTTTAATTAAATATTTTTATTTTGTACTGTTACTTCTTTAATTCTTTGTAATTAAAATGATTCTTTGTAATATTAAAAATTTGTTAAAGAGAATTAAGGATGTTCTCTCGTCCTTATACTAGAGAAAATCGATTTTCTTAGGATTTTCTTAAAACTGTGAATATATGTTAATTTAGGTGTGCTTTATGCGTGGTATAAATTTCAGTACCTCTTCCGGTATAAAAAATCAAGATACTGAGCCTCAAAGTTTCAACTTTTACTAATGAAAAAGTTTTCCAGGCCAAACGGTAAGAGATACGAGGTTGGCTAAGAGGACCAAAGTTGTTCCTCTTGTCGAGTTCTATAAGGAAAAAATGCCAAAACTAAAAAAAATTAAATTTTTTTTTGAAACTTTGAAGCTTAGTATCTTTATTTTTTATACCGGAAGAGGTACTGAAATTTATACCACGCATAAAGCACACCTAAATTAACGTATATTCACAGTTTCAAGAAAATCCTAAAAAAATCGATTTTCTCTAGTATAAGGACGAGAGAACGTCTTTAAGAAGCTATTATCACTTGGGTTTAGAATAGAAAGACCCTTGAATAGGAATACGAAGATACCACTTGAGTTTTATTTCTTTAAAGTAGTTGCATAACAATTATCTTTCAAAGCAATATAGTCCAGTCAAAATACGGAAAAAAGGGGGGTACCTAGAAAAAATTGCAACACAAGGTTTTATTACGTCATTGTGTTTAGAAAAATATACTGAACAACATATTCAAATTCCGCCATTTTCCGCTATCCTTAAGTATGTTTTTTATTAACAATTTATAAACAAATTCGTTTTTCCCCACAAATACGATGAATTTGAAATTTTTGTAGAGATCAAAGTTGTAGAGCAGACACATATCTATAAAAAATGTTCTTATGAATTTTTTGAAATATCTCATATTATTTGAGATATTTGCAACAAGAGCTACTAGGCTACGCGCGGAGCAGAGCGGAGAGTTCTAACAAACACATGCACGGCAGTCTCTACCGGTCGCTGCTAGTTCTCTAGGTTCTACAAGGAACTTGAGTTGCGGTTTTTGATACTAGTATATGTGTCTATGTATACACACACAATATACATATATTTAAAGTTCAAAGTATAAACCTTAATATCGTCTAAATGATTATATTTATAAAAAAAATATGAGAGACCTTTTTTGTAGAGCGTTAAATTTTCTTAAAAAATATGTATTGATTATTTCATAATTTTTGATAGTCGATATGATACAACATTCATAAGAAGCAAAAACAAGTTTTATAAAATTTATCAAACTTTAACTTTGAATATCTTTTGAACAGTTGAATTTATGAAAAAATGATAAAAGATCTTTTTTGTAGAGCGATAAATTTACTACAGAAAATCTATGTGGCGCAATGCTGTATTACTGTTTGTTAGATAGTTATAAAATTTTTTCTATCTTACTAAATAAAAAATAAAAAATCGCGATGAGCTATCTGTTAATATTAATATTCAGGGCTAAAATTTTAACAGGTATTTTATTTTACCTTCCTGCAAGTATATATGTTATTCGTGAAATGAAAAAAAAAGTTGTTCCAAAATGACACACCCTAATATACAGTATACATACATATAGGTACATACATGCATACCTTTTAAATTTTTGCATATCTCTGAAATTTCAAGTAAAACAGGACTGTCAACAGATTTGCAGATACTTAATCTTAAGTACGTTAAACGCCTGCCGCAATTATGAAGAAAGTTTATAAGATCCATAACATCAAAGTCGCTTCCTGTAAGATCTAACTGTCGCAAATATTTACATAAAGCTGTAAAGGAACGAAATATAGTGCGCATACTCTCGTTGCGAGTAGTTATAAATCGCATGTTCAAACACGTATAGAGTTCAGGGTCCTGTGTTAAATTATTGTAGCGCGTATTCACTTCACTCATGCAGCATAATAACGTCATCAAATCCATGTTTTTCAATATTTTTAATAGTATTTCATTCTGCAAAGATAAAATATAAAATTTTAATACACGAAATGATATCACAATAAATATTATTATGAAAAATAGACTTTTATTATAATACTTTACAGGAAGAACAGACAAACTGCAACGTGATAGCTCCTTGGATTTATCCGAAGAGAGTTTCATACTGTTTACACAATTGGAATAACTTTTTAATAGAATAGGACGCAAGTATTTCTGTCCAAGAAGTTGCACTGGGATTATTTCTTGAGATGCCTTTTTGCGCTTCAAATTACTTTTATAAGTAATCCTTCTTATTTCGCTACAAATATCATCGGAACAAATTGATTTTTATTATTAACAGAAAAAAGGATTTAAATATTCCCTAATGTACGATAGTAATACCTTTTATAAATAACACAATATTCAGGAAAATTTCTTTGCAGATGAACTATATCCAAATGTGCACTTTTTAAATCTGCTGTTAAATTATGAACTTCCTCATGGTGTGGAGTGTACATGCTGTTAATTCTTTTTAACAGATCACTTAAACTCTCGTTAGGATTTCTAGAAAGGATCAAATCTGATGTACCGATAAGCATCACAGCATCTATCTTTGTGTAAGGTGAACACTTCGCAAATATTAGTCTGAGTTTTTTGGTTTTAAAGTTGCACGGATGCGATAAGAGTGGTGAAAATAATCTTGATGTCGCCGATACAATATAAGACGACTTCTCCCACAATTGAAACCACTGATTATTTATAGAATCTTGAGCCCAAATTTGAGTTACTTTTCCAGGATTATATATTTCGTAAATATAGACTCTGATTGGATATACAGCTTCGTGAAACTCAATATCTTCAAAACAGAAAATATAATTATACTCTCTTCTCAACAAAAGCGTATCTTTTCTAACAATATCTTATATTTATCAATTCAAGTATTACATACCAATATATGTATTTTCGCTCGTCATC